AACGGTGCATTTCCATTGAGGAAATTGCCTCGTTGAAGGACAACCGTTTGAAGATCCTGAAGCATGGCAAAACCTTGTTCTCGGGATTTCAACGCCATGTATCAACCTGACTGCTGCGTCTTGGCGATCCGGAATCGTGCCAGAGCGCCATTTCGTTGGATTTCAACGCCGCGAATCAACATAATTGCTGCAACTGCATAATCCGGAATCCTTCCAAAACGCCATGTCTGGTACGCTGATCATGGGAATCCGTGAAACTCTTGCAATCTGTTAAAGCGAATGTGCGCGGCGCTAGGGCGAGAACCACATTTTGAAAACCACCCGACCTCAATCCGTGAAACTCTTGCCAATTGTTTGAAGGAATGTGTGCGGCGCTAAAGCGAGAACCACGTGTTGAAAACCACCCGCCCTCAATCCGTGAAACTCCTGCAATGTGTTAGAACGAATGTGCGTGGCGCTAAGGCGAGAGCCACATGTTGAAAAACACCCGCCCTCAATCCTTGAAACTCTTGCAATGTTTTAAAACCAATGTGCGCGACGCTAAAGCGAGAGCCACATTTTGAAAACCACCCGCCCTCCATATGTGTAACTTATTGTCATTGTCTAAGCTTCAGAGTCATACGTGGTGAGGAGGTCTCAGGCGAAACGCCCAGCCCGCCCTAAAAACTGGCCTCGGGGTGCGACAGGAAGGAGTCATCTGTAAGGAGAAGGAATGGAGGACGAGGGAGGAGGGGAGGAGGAGGAGGGGGAGGAGGAGGAGGAGAAGAGAAGAGAAGAGAAGAGAAGAAGAGAAGATACCGATAAGAGAAGGAATATAATACCAAGAGAAGAGCATAGACTCTCCTAGAAATCATCGAATCTGCAAAGAAGATAAGACATCTACGATCATCGCCTCGAGCTCCTAGAATATACATCTTCTCATACGACGAAGATCAATTCGCAGCTCCTCTCACGAGAGCGAAGAGCATCTACTCCTCCATATCTTCTTCGTGCGGTCTGATTAGGATTAGTGACTCATTCTGCGTTAACTATTAGGATGAGTGGGACTTATGTAGTTAAGGGGGGGAGAAATGGCACGCCGTGCGCCGACCTGTCCACGAAGTGAGCCCTCGACCCGCGCAGCCGGGCCGTGCGGAGCCCCTCCGGCAGGGGTCCGTGTCCCGTGCGGTTCGCGGTCATGAACTCGTGGGGCAGCGCGCCCTGGTTGTCCGACGCCGTGCCCCCATGGCACGCTGGGGCGTGGTGTGGAATGCCAGATGCCCGTGCGGAAGGAGGAGGAGGAGGAGGAGGACGGAGGAGCACGTAGAGGGCAAGCAACAAGGCCAGAGGTCTCGTGGACGCCTCTCGGAACGCCAGATGCCCGTACGGAAAAGAGCGTGTCGCAGATGTTGGCTCTCCCACAAGCCTCGGGGCACGGTTCGAGTAGGGGATCGACTGCAGAGCCGAGTTGCACCCCAGGATTCATTGGCTCGTCGACGCTGCGGAAATACGCAGAATGATCTGCACATCTACGAACATTTTACGTGCTCGATTCCTAAATTCGACGCGAAAATAACTTCTGGGGTGAATCACTTCTGTAGTCGATCCACTACTCGAGAGGTGTCACACGTTACGAGCCCCTGTGCGCCCCCCAAATAGCCACTACCCGAGGTGCTGGGTTGGCGCGGTGGCGGGACTTGCCGCGGGCAGCTGGATAGTAGTACTGCAGCAGGCCGTCTGGACCGACCCCCCCGTACCAGTAGCCGATGTTCGGGCGTGGCCAAGGGCGGCCCTGGCCCCAGAGTGACCCCAGCCTCCCCAGGAAGGCCTCGGTGGCCTCCAGACCCAGACATCGGGAGGCTCGACAAAACTCGAGACGCCCAGTTCATCTGCATTTGGGGGCTCCGGGGCTGGTGTCGGGATCCAGGGCCATCAAACAACGACTCGGGATGAAAAACAGACCCCAGGGAAGGGGTCCAGAGGTCTAGGGGCCTATACAATCAACCCGTATCATAAGGACGCATGGTAAAGATGCAAGTGCCTTGGAAGGCCATCTCGAAACTTTTCGAGCGGGGCGCGGCCAACGAACGTGGCCGAGGATGGACCGAGGAGGCAAGGGTGCAAGGGTACCCTTGGGAAGGTTGCCCATCCTCACCATGCGGGTCGACTGTATCATGTCTTGGAAAATCAAGCCGCTAGATGTATCGAGAGAGCGCCCCTTCAGGGGGGCACGGGCGGCCCCACTGAGCGCCCAGAGAGGCGCGAGAAGCCGAGGGGCACCGTGGGCCAGGGCCACCTGTCGCAGCACCCGAGATTCGAGAAGAAGAAAAACTGCATAAAGGCAATTGAGCAGGAACCGACCGTCCCGGCAATCCTTCTGGCCTGCCACGAAATGTTCCTGGGACCCAGAAATGTTCTGAGAACAAAGAGCGTCATTATAACATAAGCCAGATGTGCTGATAAAGAACAGTCTCAGCCAGAAATGCTCTAAGAACCTGTCGCGCAGACAGCACAAGGTTCTTACAACATGTTTTGGTGGGCCTATACGAAAGCCAGTACGCTCCGCCACTGCTCGAGACAAGCGTTCGAAGGTCCGCGCGTTTTTTCCGGATCGGCGCCAGAGGGTCCAGCGCAGATCTGAAGGAATCCGCGCGGGCCTCCCAGCAAGTTTGCGGTTATGCCTCGTGTCTCTTCTTCGGATGTTGGAGCCCTTCCAGCCCGGCCCGAGCTTCCAGTCACCCTCGCGCATGAGGTCCTTAATCGCCTGGAAGTCGGGCTCCCCAGGCCGCACGAGCAGGAAGCCGCCCTGCACGGGGGGCAGGGCGGAGCGGCAGCAGTCCATGGCGTGGTCGTAGACTCCGACCAGGTCGGCCTCGTCTTCCATGAGCTCGTCCATCGCGTCTATGACAAGGAAGTCGGCGTCGATGATCAGCACCCTATCGTACTGCGTCAGGGCCATGCCCCAGTACTTGATCGTCTCCTCCGCGAACTGGAACTTGCTGGTCCCAGCAGACATCTTACCCAAAGCCTCCCTGGCGACCTTGCCTTGCACTTCTTCGACGGGCACTGGAATGGGCCTCCTGATAACCTCGGAGTACCCTGACTGACGCAGGACCTGCTCCTCTCGAGCCGAGAACCTCTCCGGGGCCAAGACCACTAACTCCACCTGATGCCTGCTCGCATTGGCCGCCCTCAGGACGCTGAACGCCAGCACGGCTAGCCCGTCCTGCCACTGCGGGTTGGCCACGTCGGTGATGAAGACCGCGAACGCCACTCGCAGCCGCCCCAGCGCGGCTGGCCGCGCGGCCGCGCCGGGCAACGTCTGGGCGGGCGGCGCGGGCGGGAGGGCCTCGTACCGCCCACCTGGGGAAACCAAAAGGTACTGATGCCGCCACCCCTCGGACCTCTCCCGGGCTGCGTTCTGACTCGGACCCCGAGGCGAATCCAGCGGTGGCAACGAGGGCCGCCCAGGAGGCCCGAGGAGGGGAACACGGGCGAAGGGTACAGGCGAAGGGTACCTTTATTCCTCCTCTGACCACCCTCGCACTGCTGAGGGCTCGCGCCCGGGGCACCTCGCCGCCTCCCCAGCTCCTCGCGGAGCTGCCACCAGCGGTCCACCCACGCGCGGCACACCGGGTGCGGCGGGGCGGCCTCGCAGAGCCACGGGCGCCCGCAGGCCCCCCCGAAGCGGGCGGCCTTGACCCG